ACAGCATGGTACTGTAGTCAGAGTTGATGAAAACAGTCTTCCCAGTAACCCCTCATACTGCAGTCCAACAGTAAAGTTGGTCTGAGTTTGATTTGCATATGTCATCTTCAAGCAACACTTACAACATGAAAAATGTCTTGCTGATGTAACTGGAGAATAAAAGCACAATTAATCCTGTTAAGTTTGTATTCCTAGTGCTCTTTACAACAAAGCCCCAGAAACATCCACACACACGTTTTCTGTGCATAAAGTTAGCAGGTTAGATGCCATGATTGCTACTGTGTGGGCAGACCTGTTCTGCAAGGTTCCCCAAACCTCACGTACTGTTTATGATCTCACACCAAGTTCATGTGACACCATCACGTGTCAGCAGGTCAGTAATGGAAGAGAACAGCCTCTGCAGAACTTTGAGGACTAATGAGGAAGGCGCTCTTCTGTGTCTCAGCTTCAGTTGGTCCAAAATGTGACTGCTAAACTTTGAAATAATACACAATGTACATCACAGATTATACCAGTGTGGCCTTCCTTGGTTATCAGCTGAATGCAGAATAGAAAATTATTAAAATTACCTAAAAAGCACTACGCAGACTGGCACTACCTTATGAATTATTGCATCCCATAGCTACACTAAAAAAAATTCTTTTGGATTTACATAAAAAAATTATGTACATCGGTTGCACATATTAAAGTTATGTTTAACTCAAAACTGATATATTTTCATTTCTTTAAATTAATATTATTCATTAAAAACCCAACATGGACTTTCCTTGCATTAAATTAAAATATTTCTTTGATGTTAAGTATTTATATTAGATTATCTTCTGCTAAATTGACTGATTTTTTTTATGTAAATGAACACTATTCTTAATGTGTATGATATTTAATTATCATCTTATTGGACCAACATAATTGTTTGCGTAAAGGTAACCTAACTGCCCACAGTAAATTGGACACTATTAAGTTTTGGATACTTTAAATATTTAAATTACTTTTATAAGATGATTGGTAATTCAAGAAATTCATTTCTACACCCCCATTTAATCGAGCCAAATCTTTTTACGGAAAATAAAAAAGGACATGTGGCAATAGACCGACATATCAATTATTAACTCCAGACAGTGTATAAAAATTTGTAATGACTAAAAACACAACTTGCTGTGTACTACCTGGGTATCTAATATGTACAGTAAATCACATTATATTGACAATTCAGTGGAAAAACAAAGTAAACCACTAATTGAAATTTCCATTTATATTCATTAGAAAAAAATTTTTTCAAGCTTCAAGGAGGTACGGCAGTTAAACAAAATAATTGCAGTGTAGAGAATATGTGTGGGAGTTTGTTGGAGTATGTATAGTAAAGGAAATCACCCCAAATTTTCTTTACTATCATACCATCACACACTCACACACCATATTCTTTCTACGCTGCAATTATTTTTTTAACTGTAGATTCTGTTTTAGGTTTGTAAAAGAAAAAAAAAAAGCCTCCTACTCGCCCAAATAACAACCAATTGGAAGGAGGGTGAAACAATGCATACAGTATTGCCAGAAAAATACTTCACACATTTAAACTCATCTGCTGAACATAAAAATACTGACAGAATTTTCACGTTGAATAACAACACCTGTCCTTTTGCTCATGGTACGATAATAAAACAGCACTGGACCATGACCACAGGATTTCCAAAATGTGTGAACATTGAACACTTATAGATCTTGTTTCCATACCAGAGTTTACAGTAATAAAAGTCACCCCAAACTCTAATAATGGGGGGAGAATTCTGTTATAGTCCCATTATTTATAAAAAAAATAAAAAATAAAATAAAAAGATCTGCCCAAATCAAAAGTCCAACAACTGGAAGAGGTAGGTGACATAATGCATGTCTTAAGAAATCAAGCTTGAGAGCCTGGATAGCCAGTTCACTGATAAAGTCTGTTCTTCAGGACTTGGGCTTTTTTGGACAGTGCATTGCCTTCAAGCTCCATGACCACCTTCTGCAGCACTTCAAAAGGTATACTTGAGTTCAGCAGGGTAGTTTAAGTTCAGAGAATATATTAGGCCAAACAACATGGCAGCAGCTAAGGGAACATTGTCCAAATCCTGCATCACAATGTGGGACTCGAGGACAATGCCAATGTCCTCTGGTTTTTCACTGGCATCTCTGGGTTTCCAGACGTATATACCCATAGTGGTTTCCTCAATGGATTCCTGGAGGAGGGACTCATCTGAAATTATCACAGCGAGAGCGAGAGAGAAAATGGCGGAGCCTGCAAGTCTTCAGCAACTGTTTTAGAGCCCCTAGGCGGCAGGCTTTTCAACTTCCGGCTGATAAAACATAACTTTTTCCTTTCTTCTTCAAATGACGGAGACATGTAGGTTTCAAATTCCTCAATATTGAAATGCTTTTTAAAGATTTAATCATGTTTTGGAGAGAAATATAAATCAATTATGTAGCATATACAAAATGCATACTTAAAGTGAACAACCCTCCTTCTTCCATTTTTTCAGTGTATTGAGGACTGACCGGGGCCCTCTACAAATACTAGTCCAATGTTCTTGGTTATTTATTGTTACTTCCTCTTTTTCTATTATTCTGCAGTGTTTGCAGTGCAGCACCATAGAACTCTGGTTTCAAACGCACTTTATCAATAAAGTTTACTTTAGGAAACATAACACCATGTTACTAAAAGTATTAAAAGAAAGTTGTGATGAAGGCAATTTTCTACAGGATCAAACTGAGGTTCAGGCAAATTGAGTTGGGCAGATGGGTTATAAAATCCCCTCAACAAATGTCTGACCCACCCAGAATCTCAGGAATACCTCCACAGGTAGGACTTTTCCACCGACAGGGCCCCGTTACGGTTTAAGCACCTAGTTTTGAACCATTTAAAGGAAAAAGAAAAGGAAAACCTGCTACTTTTTGGTTCACTGTTGGGGTCTCGAACGCATAGGCTCTGAGCGGACATCCACATACCTTTCAATTTGTGTGTGGACTGTTGGCATGGCCACTACGCTACACGCTTTTTACTGCAGACACAATCTACTCCAGAAAGTAGTATAGACAGAACTATCTCAGGGCTCAGTGAATAGGCAGGCAGTCAACATGGGACTGCATTACATACTCAACAAATCAACCTTGACTCTCCAGGGACATACAACAAGGATCCCGTTTGTGGACTTCAGCTCAGTGTTCAACACCATCATCCTAGAAGTCCTCCTCTCCAACTTCACCCAGCGCTGCTTCTCTACCTCTACACCAATGACTGCACCTTCGGCCTCATCCGGGTCAGTGATGAGACTTGAGAACTGTACCCCAAAACAACCAGACACAAGAACAGTTTCTTTCTACAGGCCATCACTCTGATGAACAGTTCAATCAGTCATACAGTGTCAATAGTCCTCTAACACGTAAACATCCACTTCCATTATAGACTGTATCATATATTTTAAAGTCTATAGGACTTAGCTGAACTGAACTCATTTTTAGGTTTTATGACTCATTCATGCAGCACAGGATGAACCAGTAGAGATTAGTTGTTACTCTTTATTGCAGCCCAACTTTAGACTCAAGTCAAGTGCAGCTTGGTTCAGGAAGTAGAACGGGTCGTCCACTAATCAGAAGGTTGGCGGTTCGATCCTCGGCTCCTCCTGCTGCATATCGAAGTGTCCTTGAGCAAGATAGCAAATTGCACCTGATGCTGTGTAATCGGTGTGTAAATGAGAATGAATGGATTAGTTACTGTTTGTGATCATTGTGTGAATGTGACTGTAGTGTAAAAGTGCTTTGAGTGGTCAGAAGACTTGAAAGGTGTAATACAAGCACAGACATCTAGCCTCAAATTACTAACTTAACTAACAAGTTTTAGGTTCAGACATTGGACTGAAGTGAAGTTTTCTCTATTTACTTTAGACTTGTTAAAGTTTTCCATAATTTGTGTCCACAGAGGTGCCATTAACCCCTCTCCATGATGATTGCTGATGAATACCCAGAGGAATCATTAATCATGTCAATATTTACTGAAAACATTAATGAGTAAGGGGTTTGAATATTTAATGTGTCTAAATGAGTTATCAGGAGACTGGGTCAGATGGGAGGGAGTGATTGCAGCAGCAGAAAAACAACATTGTCACTGAGATTTAGAAAAAGAAACCTGCTAATTAAAGAAACGTCCCAAAACATAAAGAACAGTGACTAAACTGGAAAAAAAGAAGTGAAAGTAAAACCTTCATTTTGTGGGGGGAAATAGTTTCTGACTTATTTGATATTACAACATATAAATAAATGGATTTTCTATTGGCTATAGTGTTAAGTGTTGAACCTGTATTGTGTGTATCAGTGTTCATTTGAACTTAAAAAATGAAAAACAGAAAAAATTCTAATCTCAATGACACAATAAACTGTATTTTATGTTTATTGATTACTATTGGGGCACGCGATTAGTGGGAAAAGGAAAAAAACAAAATAAACAAAGGGTGTGAAAGATTGTAGGCATACCCAGGCAAACAAAGACACTAATACCATTATTATCACATTATTTACATAATATTAAGTTCATGTACAATTTAATGCAACCGCGTACTTATTTACGAGTTCAGACATTCATGTTTTCTCCATTTACTTTGGACTTGTTTGTGCTTGTTAGAGGTGGTCATACTTTGTCTCCACAGAGGTCCCCTCTGATACACAGGAGGCATTTATTATATCAATATTTAAAGAGCACGTTAATGAGTAAGGGTTTGAATATTTAATGTCTGTTAATGAGGTATCAGGGGATTGGTTCAGGTGTGAGGATTTCTCTGTGACACCTCAGAGTATTTCACCAAACTGAAAACAATAATTCCAGGACAACGTTGACACTCCTCAGTATTTGAAAAAGTTCACAGAAGTTCAACTTTTACTAATGTGAATCAGTTTTGGCATCAGACAATCCACAGCTGTGTAGGGATCACGTGAAGAACTGAAAGTGGTAGGCTGAGGTACCTATCAATCAATGTTTAAATCAGAATCCTTTTAACAATTTAATGTTTCCTTAACGGGACAGTAACACTTGCTGTTGGTGTCAAACACTCACTGTAAACCTGAAAGGTTACAAAGGCAGTGACATAAAAAAAATATTCTCCTGCTGCTGATTCTCTAATGTCCATCTGTATCAATGGTTTCCAACCTGGGGGTCGGGACCCCCTCTAGGGGTCACCAAAGCTTTACAGGGGTCACAAGCCCTTCTTGAGTTGGGGTGGGATGATTTGATCTTTGAATTTAGCTCTCAACAACAATTATCAACATATTGCAGATTGCCCCACAGGAAGTCGACCATTTTGGATTTGATGTAAGAATGACTGTAAGAACTCACAAAACCTTGTACCCACAGTCCAACTGGTAAATATTTTGATATGTTTAATATGTTGCAATTGGGCTTGTGCATGCCACACCGGCTCTATAGCGCCCCCTAATTACTTACTAATTACGACGGAAACACTTTGACATACATTTTATTGGCTCATGCCGCTACAATATGTACATTAATGTTCAGTCTACACAGCTGTGTTTGTGTTTCTAATGCCTATGAGCGGACAGTAATGGCAATGTGGTGCACCGTCACTGATTATTGTGCGTCGTCACTAAAAGGATCATAGTTTCATATGTAGGAAGGTTTTAATCTCTTATTGTGCTCCAATTTGGATTCGGTCCAGCAGTCCAGTCTATCGCTGTCTCAGCCTTCCTGATAGGACTCATCTTCTCCAGCACCCCACATACAGACACAGAGACACAGCCATGGGCATGACAGTAAGAATGTGTAGAGTAGAAGAATACTGCGGTAATTAAGTGTCTTTGAAATCACACACTACTGTACTACATACTGCTTACTAAATGAACGATGGGCCTCATGCAAGAAGCACTCATATGAATGTTATTGGTTCTTAAGTGACTTGTACGACTAACTTGGGAGAACTTGCGGCATTCACCAATTTGCCCAGCATGAACAAAATCTACAAGGTTCAGACGTAGGTTGTGAATTGTGTTCATGTGCAATCAGTCTGCTGCTGTGAAACACTGAAGCATCGTATTTTGCATTTCATAAGTAAATTACACTTCATAATAACGTTGACATCCTCCTGTTGTGAGCTGTAAATGTATCATACAGCCTACCGATGTCCTCATTAATGTAAATGGTCTACTGATGGGGTTAGGGTTATCTTCAGGTCTCTGTCCAGGGGAACATCCTCAGCTGCATTGTCTGACAATGCAACATCACTTATTGTGGCTCATATTCTTCACTCTATCATTTACCATTTGTTTTTCACATAAACCACTTCTTCTTGATTTCAGCAGCAGTCCGATGCTTAGGGGACACTGCGTTAGCATGGCCTTTAATGCCACTGCTGAAGCTGTTAAAGAGCACGACTTCAATCTGCCAGCTCGTAAAGTTCTTCCTACCATTTAATGATAATCGGTACACACTCATACGAGCCCAACGTGCAAAAAAAGGACAAGAAAGTTAGGATAAGAATACGAAAATGTTCTTGCAAGTGGTCTGTGTTACTGTGGGGGGTGAGGAGTCTATGAGCGGACTGGCCTGCTGGAGAGAAGCCGGTCCTGGCTGGCTCAATAGCTCCCCCTACTGGTGCTTCTGGAGCTTCTCAGCTCTGAAAATGTTTAAGCACTTTCTCGATTCACCATCAAATTTCGTAAAACTGCTGAAATTGACACAGTAAATTTCTCCATACAAATATTTCATACCGACACAGTCCATCTACGAACTCCTCCATCCTTTCGTCCACAACGCTGATTTCTCCCCCCACCCCTCATCCCTCCCACATTTTATTATCTTGGTTCATCTTTATTCATTATGTGCATTAATCCATTCTTCTTCTAGCTTCTTCCAGATTCCACCACAGTCAGAAAACAACTGACACACTTTTAAACAACTAAAGGGAAACAGTAAATGAAGTAGGGGGGCACTAAACCCTAGCGCTTCACTCTCACAACTTATTTAGCCTCTTTACAGCGTCTTGGGTCATCCGATCATAGGACACCTGGCATTAGAATGAGTCGCTGATGATCGTTTGTGATCAGATCTCACCTCCTGCTCTATATGCAAATTTATAGGACTGTACCCACTGTTGTCAGTGTCCATTATTACTGTCATTTATTCAGTATGATTACCTACGCTATCAGTGGCCCTGTAGTGCACTGTGGGATTTTATAACTGAACTTTATGAGCAGGAAGAACACTTTTTCTACTCTGTGGAAATCTGATGTTTGTGAGTCCACCAGGCTGCTGACGGACTGTCAGTCCAACAGTCGCTCACAGTGGATGACAGTGGGGGAGGTTGGACTGCCTGGAGATATTGTGGTTACTAGTTCAGTGGTCAAATGAGTTGAAACAGACACCTTCAGAGTTACTGAATTATAATGACTAAATAAGTACAGTATTTACTGTGTTCTTGATTAAGTGAAAGCCAGTAATAAACAGACAGGCAATAGATGATAGAAATATGACATAACTAATCACCAATCTGATCAGCATGCTGATGTAATGATGTGAAGGCGGCTCGAGGACAGAGTATATAAAGGGCATGCTGCAGGAAGCAGTCGCACCGACTGGCTCGCCCTCGAGGAAACAAACTCGTCTTGACTGCTCAGCACCGGTGGATTTGTGGTTCTACACTCAGAACGTGTTTGCGGTAATAACTTTTAGCTTCTCTGACATGAATCATGAATGAGTGATGCAGTTTGTTCTTCGGCTCTCGCTTTGTAATGTCTGTGCTGAGGGCCAATGTCACTGCCAGTCTGCAGTATCAAGCGTCCCATGAGCTAATGCTGTTTGGCATGTTGTCTGTGGGCACAAGTTGCTCTTTCCTCTACATTAACAGCGTCCTGCTGTTCACTCTGAGGAACAAGCAAGTGTTTTGTGAGACGTCCCGTTACATTCTGCTGTTCAACCTGCTGTTTGCTGACACTGCTCACCTGGTGTCAAACATCCTGCTTTACCTTCTGGCTTCGTTACGGGTAAAACTTACGTATTATGCATGTAGTGCCCTCGTTCTGTTCTCAGTTTTGACGGCCACCATCTCGCCTTTCACCCTGGCTGTGATGTCACTTGAGAGATTTGTGGCTGTGTGCTATCCGCTCAGGCACGCTACCATCTTTACCATGAGAAGCACGGGCATGGCCATTGCTCTGGTGTGGACCTTCAGTTTTATCCACATCCTCATTCGAGTTTCTGTGTTGTTGTATTTGTTCACAAAAATCTCCCTAAATCTGAACATGAATGACTTTTGCTCTAAAGAAGCTGTTTTTTTCGGAGCAATCTTTGACGATTTTGAGGACGTGTTTGCCAGCACTCTCTTCCTGTCTGTGGGTGTAGTAATCGTGGCCTCCTACGTCGGTGTTTCGCTGGTAGCCAGGTCGGCCTCCACAGACAAAGCCTCAGCTAGAAAGGCTCTTCAAACGCTTCTGCTGCACCTGATTCAGCTGAGCCTGATTCTCACCTCCACAATGTACACCACCATTATTGTGGCCATCGCCAGGACTGTGGACAGATTAGCCCTTATACGGATTTACAATGTTTGCTTTGTGTGCTTGAGCATCCTCCCAAGGTGTCTGAGCGCTCTCATCTATGGACTCAGGGATCAAACCATCAGGCCCGTCCTCATGCGAAATCTGTGCTGTCAGTTGGGATGCCCCGTTTTCTTCACTAAGAGCCACTAACAGTTTCACCTTTTAATACACACTCCTGTTCTCTCTGTTACACTGTTTACCATTGTCTGTGCACTGTTTATAGAGGTGATGTTTGGAAGAAAAGACTTCATTTCATATGCATTTATTATATGTCCCATTATTATTCATATATGATAAATTAGTTGATGCATAATGTGAATCATTTCTGTCTGTCTGTGAGCTGTCTTCAGGCAGTCAGGTTTATGACAGTGAAACTAATCTGTATTGATGAAGTTTGAAGTGATAACGTTTTCACAAAGCAATAAAAAGCATCTGTAAGAAGTAATGTTGATTTTCAGGAAAATCTGATGATTATATGTTTGGTGTTTTGATATCTGCTTGTAAAAAAAGGGCTATTATAACTATATACTATATTATTTTCTCCCTCCTGAGGTACTTTTCATAGCTCTGTGTGTCTCTCCCTAAATGTACACAGTTCTCAAACAGAGGAAATAAAAGTCCTTTTGTCCTGATGTGTGTTTTATAAAATAAAGTACCACTTCCCGAAAGAAGAATCCTCAAAGGTTCTCTCATTATACATACATACACATAAAGAGGTTTAGAAATTTATTTAAGTGAATTATTATAAATGAACTGAGCTACAAACAAAACAGGGCATACAAGACACCTAAATATGTATCACAGCGCATATTATATATAATACACTCAGTGTAACCGTTCTGAGGGACATGTAGATTTTATATAATAATAATATATTAGGTCAAGTTTTGTGGCAATTATTAAGAATTGGAACCCATGGCCGCTGCAGCAGGAACACAGCCTCTACCAGGTGAATAACTAGGGTTCCCCACAGGCCTAATATTAGTCATATTAGCATCATATTTGATGTTAAAATTAATACCACATTGTATGCAAAGCCTCGGTAACTGTTGTTGGTCAGTGATCTAGTGCATTAATTCCCAGAGACTGGGCATTTTATTTTGGCTCGCAAGCAAATGGAAAAAAAACATTAGGAGAATTTCTTCCTCCTGCTAAATGCACTTATCTGATCTCATTAGGGCCCGAGCACTAACCGTGCGAAGGCCCCATTTCTGGTGATTTGCACACGTTGTATTTGAACGAACTCCTCCTAGGGAATTGATCGGATCAGATTTGGACACAGCCATCTAAAGACATTCACGATTAAAAGTTGTGCTATTTACGACATTCCGTCGAACAACGTGCCCGTGGCATGGCGTGGAATTTCAACGACTCGCCATGAAAGAGGGATTTGTCATAACTTCTGCATACATGATCCGATCTCAACGAAACTTCACGTTTGATAAGAGTCCCGCCCTGAACACGTCTATGTGATAATATTCAGTAATAGTGA